ACAGCTCCCCCCAAAATTCCATGACTTCCTGAACTTCCACAACACTTTCCAATCTCCTACAACTTCCCAAAACTCCCACGACTTCCCAAACTCCCACAACTCCCAGGAATTCCACGACTTCCCAAACTCCCACAGCTCCCACAGCGCTTCCCAAACCTCCACAACTTCCCAAACTCCCCCAACTTCCCTCCAAAACCTCCAGAACCTCCTTCCAAAAACTCCCCCCCTGATCCCCCCTGATCCCCCCGGCTTCCCAAACCTCCGTAACTTCCTCGACTCCCCCAAAATTCCGAGACCTCCATGACTTTCCCTCCCCCCTTTCCCTCCCGAGGCTCCCCAGCTGGGATTTGCTTCCAGGGGGGGGACTGGGGGGGATTTTCCCGCTGATCCCGAGGGTTCCCGTCCCTGTTTTTCCAGCCAAGAAGGGCCCGGACGGGCTGGCCCTTCCCAACAATTACTGCGACTTCTGCCTGGGGGACTCCAAGATCAACAAGAAGACGGGGCAGCCCGAGGAGCTCGTGTCCTGCTCCGACTGCGGGAGGTCAGGTGGGCGCTGCCCCCGCCGGGGCCCCGGCGAGATCCCGCGGCTCTGGGGTGATTCCGTGGCCATCCCGCGGTTCTGGGGTGATTCCGTGGCCATCCCGCGGTTCTGGGGTGATTCCGTGGCCATCCCGCGGTTCTGGAACAATTCCATGACAATTCTGTGGTTCTGGGGTGATTCCATGACCATCCCGCGGTTCTGGGGTGATTCCATCACAATTCTGTGGTTCTGGGACAATTCCATCACAATCCCGCAGTTCTGGGACAATTCCATGACAATTCTGTGGTTCTGGGACAATTCCATGGCCATCCCGCGGTTCTGGGACAATTCCATGACAATTCTGTGGTTCTGGGACAATTCCATGACAATCCCGCGGTTCTGGGACAATTCCATGACAATTCTGTGGTTCTGGGACAATTCCATGACAATCCCGCGGTTCTGGGGCGATTCCATGACAATTCTGTGACAATTCCGTGACAATTCCATGACAATTCCATGGTTCTGGGATGATTCCATGACAATTCCGTGACAATTCCATGGTTCTGGGATGGTCCCATGACAATTCCATGACAATTCCATGGTTCTGGGACAATTCCATGACAATTCTGTGGTTCTGGGGTGATTCCATGACAATTCTGTGACAATTCTGTGATAATTCCATGACAATTCCATGACAATTCTGTGGTTCTGGGACGATTCCATGACAATTCCGTGATAATTCCATGACAATTCCGTGGCAATTCCATGGTTCCAGAATGATCCCATGACAATCCCACGGTTCTGGGGCGATTCCATCACAATTCTGTGGTTCTGGGATGGTTCCATGACAATTCCATGACAATTCCATGATAATTCCATGATAATTCCATGGTTCTGGGATGGTCCCATGACAATTCCATGACAATTCTGTGACAATTCCATGGTTCTGGGACGGTTCCATGACAATTCCATGGTTCTGGGATGGTCCCATGACAATTCCATGACCATTCCATGGTTCTGGGACAATTCCGTGACAGTTTGGTGGTTCTGGGACGATTCCATGACAATTCTGTGATAATTCCATGACAATTCCATGGCAATCCCGTGGTTCTGGGATGGTTCCATGACCATCCCATGACAATTCCGTGATAATTCCATGACAATTCCGTGGCAATCCCATGGTTCTGGAATGATCCCATGACAATCCCGTGGTTCTGGGGTGATTCCATGACAATCCCACGACAATCCCACGACAATCCCATGACAATCCCATGATGTTCCCACGACAATCCCATGACAATTCCATGATGTTCCCATGACATTCCCATGACAATCCCATGACGTTTCCATGTTTCTCCCGTGTCCCAGGCCACCCCTTGTGCCTGCCGGTGCTGATGGCAGCCACTGGATTCCTGTGATGTTCCCGTGGTGTTCCCATGACAATCCCATGACAATCCCATGACAATCCCGTGACAATCCCATGACCATCCCATGACAATCCCGTGACAATCCCGTGACAATCCCATGGCAATCCCATGACATTCCCATGACAATCCCATGGCAATCCCATGACGTTCCCATGTTTCTCCCGTGTCCCAGGCCACCCGTCGTGCCTGCAGTTCACGCCGGTGCTGATGACGGCCGTCAAGATGTCCCTCTGGGGGGGGCACTGGGTTCCTGTGGTGTCCCATGGTGTTCCCATGACAATCCCATGACGTTCCCATGACGTTCCCATGTTTTTCCCGTGTCCCAGGCCACCCGTCGTGCCTGCAGTTCACGCCGGTGATGATGGCGGCCGTCAAGACGTACCGCTGGCAGTGCATCGAGTGCAAGTGCTGCAACATCTGCGGCACCTCCGAGAACGACGTGAGTGAGCGCCCCGTGCCCGAGGGAACGGCCCCATTCCCGAGGGAACGGCCCCGCAGCCGCCGGGATACACCGGGAACGGCCCGGGATACACCTGGAATGGCCCGGGATTCTCTGGGATCCACCTGGAATGGCCTGGGATCCACTGGGAATGACATGGGATCCACCTGGAATGGCCCGGGATCCACCGAGATCCACCTGGAACGGCCCGGGATCCTCTGGGAATGGCCCGGGATCCGCCAGGATACACCTGGAATGGCCTGGGATCCACTGGGAATGACCCAGGATCTGCCGGGATCCACCTGGAATGACCTGGGATCCACTTGGATCCACCAGGAATGGCCCGGGATCCACTGGGATCCACCTGGGATGGCCCAGGATCCACTGGGAATGGCCCAGGATCCGCTGGGATCCACTGGAAATGGCCCAGGATCCACCGGGATACACCTGGAATGGCCTGGGATCCGCCGGGATACACCTGGAATGGTCTGGAATTCTCTGGGAATGGCCCAGGATCCACTGGGATCCACCAGGAATGGCCCAGGATCCACTGGGAATGGCCCAGGATCCGCCGGGATCCGCCTGGAACGGCCCAGGATCTGCTGGGATCCACTGGGAATGGCCCAGGATCCACCTGGAATGGCCTGGGATCCACCAGGATCCACCAGGAATGGCCCGGGATCCACTGGGAATGGCCTGGGATCCACCAGGAACACCTTGGGATCCACTGGGAACACCCCAAAAACCCACCAGGAACGGCCCCAAAAACCCACCAGGAACACCCCAAAAATCACCCCAAGATCCCCCCAAAACCAGTGCCCTGGGAGAGCCCAAAACTGACCTGGGAATGGCCAGGAATGGTCTGGGAATGGCCAGGAATGGTCTGGGAATGGTCTGGGAATGGCCAGGAATGGTCTGGGAATGGTCTGGGAATGGTCTGGGAATGGCCAGGAATGATCTGGGAATGGTCAGGAATGGCCAGGAGTGGTCTGGGAATGGCCAGGAATGGTCTGGGAATGGTCTGGGAATGGCCAGGAATGGCCTGGGAATGGTCTGGGAATGGCCAGGAATGATCTGGGAATGCCCGAACGTGGATTTTGGGGGGAAAAACCTTCCCTTTGGGATCACCTGTAGGGCCCTGGGGGGGGAGGTTTTTTTTGGGGGTGGAATCTTTGGGGTCTGTTTGGGATGGGGATCTCCTGGCGGTTCCGGGGCCGCTCCCGGATCTGCTCCCCCGGAATTCCCGCAGGATCAGCTGCTGTTCTGTGACGATTGTGACCGCGGCTACCACATGTACTGCCTGACCCCCCCCATGGCCGAGCCCCCCGAGGGTGAGTCCTGTCCTGTCCCTTCCCATCCCATCCCAGTCCAGCCCAGTCCATTCCATCCCATCCCATCCCAATCCAGCCCACCCCAGCCCATCCGAGGGTGAGTCCTGTCCTGTCCTTCCCCAGCCCAGCCCAGTCCA